CTGAGGCAGGCTCAAGTGAAATGATGGAGGGGCCTCTAGCTTAACAAGGCTCCAACAATCCCCAACACTTCACTAAACCAAGTTCTTGGGATCTTTTAGACCAAGCAACTAGAGCACGAAAATGCTTAGGCTTGGACTTTGCTCACACTGTGGCCTGCCTCTCCTCTCTTCCATTTCAGGAGGGACTGGGTGGCTGAGCAGGTTTGCCTCCTGGTCAGCAGACCAAGTGCAGCCTGCTTGCTACCGGTAAGCAGATGGTACTGGCGGCTGTTCAGCAGCCTGTGTGAAGCAAGTGTACTGGACTCAGCGCAGTCACAGGTGTCTTTGTCCCACGAGCTATGATTACATTGACACTCTCAGGAGAGAGGCCACAAATTGAATGGAGCATGGAGACAGAACCTCCCCTTCATGGCCCAGGTGCTCTCTACAGGGCAGAGGGGACTATCCTGGAGTTTCTCAGCTGTTTGGCCTGCAGTGCATAAGAGAAGAATGCAAGAGAGTTTGCTAGGGTCTCAGCCTCAGCCCAGCAGTGGAGGAAGACTCCTCCCTGCCCTAAATTCTAGACACTGGAGAGACTGGGAAACAAAGTTCAAGCCCACGCTTGTCTATGTCCTTCCTGTGCAACCCTGTAGTCTTCCCTGAGATCCAGCTGACTGCACAGTTGAGCACAAGTCTCCGCTTGAATGGAGTAAGTGCAGTTCACCCTCATTGCAGATCTGTTAACAGATCTGCAGACAGACAATCAATATACAAGAGAGAGAAATGAGCCCAGCAAGGAGACACTGTTTCCACCTCCTCCCATAAAGGAGAGAAAGCCATTCACACCACCCCAGAAAGCATCCCTTTCACTTAGCCCTCCACAGCTGCCATTTTCCTCCAGTACAGAAGGGCTGGCTGGAGCATTCCTTTGGAACTCAAAAGTCACACTTTTAGATTGAAGGAGTTTTACAGAGGATATTTCCAGATCTGCAGGTACAGCACAAGTAAAATGCAGCTGCCTCTGGAGTGGACAGCATGCTGCACAGTAGTTAGGAGGAGGGAAAAGGTGAAGACAAGAATTCTGGGTAGACTCCTACTCTCCCCATCAGTGCCAGGGTCAAGTATAAAGCAGAGAGGTCCCTACCTATCTTGGATATTTATAATGCACCCAGAGTAATTGGTTTTTAAATTCTTATTTGACAGACACAAAATACATTTCCTGGAACACTTTAAAAAAAGATGAAAGGTTTAACTGATCCTGCTGAGATTTGAACCTGTGGTTCTAGGGAGTCTAAGAATTTCATACCGGACGCAGATACCACTAAACCTTCCCCTCTAAGCTAATCGTACTGACCTTCCACTTTTCATAATTCTGGAAGAAAGAGGCAAAACACCCAACCAACCAGAGCTGGACCATATCATCAGAGTTATCATTCCTAGCATTTCACTTCTATTCCCAGTGTCCATGTAGACTATATTTTATTGGAGCAATGGTATCTGAAATACAACCTGCGGTCTGAGACATTAAGGAGCAGAGGGCAGCTAGAAAGCACAGCAAACAGCTGAAGATGCAGTTGGTACACCCAGGCTGCAGAGACTGCATACATCAAAGGTTGGCGTTTGAGGGTTTTCCCACCAGAAGCTTGGATCTCACTCTTCTTCAGGAACTGGCACTTGATGGACAGTTCCCAGGTGGCAAAAGAGAGAACAGTGACAGCAGAGGTGTGTGTGCAGGCCTCTTTAAACTTAAATTCTGACCACCTTTGGGATTCTCCAACATCCTCTTACAGGGTTTCCTCATTTCCTTCACATAAGTGAAAACAAAAAACTCTGACCTCATTTTCTCTCTCAGAGCTCAACTCACAGAGCTAGACCAGCAGCTAGCTCCTGATGATATGGATCAGTATTGGAACCATACTAAGGAAAGCGGAGACCAGAGCTGCAATTTGGACCATCGGAGAAGAAACTATGTGCATTAGAAGGTTGACAATCCCACTCTCCATTACACAAGAACATAGATCCTGTATCTACCCAGCATGTGAATGAGGCAAAAATGGGGATATGAATAAGTAGCTCCAAGTTCTAGACATATGTATTAACGAAACAGATGGGAGAGGACTGCTGATAGAATCAGCGTGGGCATGTGACCTTTGTCCATCACTGCGATGGAGAAGAACCACCAATGAAGCCAGCAGAATCTCTGTGCCATTTCCCAGGCAAAAGCCAGATGGAATGGGGTCAAGGAACACAGAGGACTTGAGTTGGTACCAACTTCCTCAATAACCTGACCCAAAAAGGAAGCATTAGACAGGATGCTATCTGGGAAGTTTGTCAGCATCAAGAAATGGTTGATAGCAACTGTTTGATACAAGAGGGACCCCAGAGACCAAGGAATGGCAGGAAATTGGAGTGGTCTTAGCAGAGGGAAGCAGATGGGACATACACACACATATACAGAAGACCCCAAGAGATGAGGTAATGAGGCCAAAAAAGGAGGGAGAGCAGAAAGAAGACAAGTTGGGGGAACTGTAACAGAAAAATCATCACAATTCCAAACCTAGAGAAAAATCTTGAACATGAGCAACTAGAGAGAAGGAGGGCAACATGTTTTAAAACAAAAGCCATTGCAAGTTATCTCAAAACACACTTTCACAGCAGATTCAGCAGCACAGGGAATGAGCATCAGCTCCAAAGGAAGTTATTACAGGACGGACCACGCTGGCACTAACTAACTAAGTAAATACAGAGTTAGCTTTCATTAGCTAACTGAGACAGAGAGTGAAGTAAAGGGGAAAACCCAAGGAGAAAGGCAGCCCTTGACATACAGTACAAATTAGCAGACACGCAAATGCATTGGTTTCCAATTAATAGTGAGATATGCCAGACATCCTACAGTTAGAGACAGGAAAGGAGTAAGTGACTTAAATAAAAGTAAGTTGGTTAACGGACATATCTGGGTGCCAGGCAGCGTTATATCAAAACACCATGCGTGCTGCTGAGCAGCACGCAGGACTATTCACTACATACAGATGTGAAAGACAAGAGACAATACAAGCCTGAAAATACCAAAGGAGAGGGGCTCGGATTTTCAGGAGAGTGGCATAGGAGCACATGACCCACTGATTTTCAGTGGAACTAGTTCTCCTACGTCATTCAGATGCTTTTGATACTCTACCTAAGGAACATAAGAAGCTGTGACATGTACTAGAACAAACATTCGCTTTTTGTGGATAAGATAAAGGTTGCTATATGCAAGGATTTTGAGCAGTAATGGAGAGGGTAGTTTAGAGGCGTTTGGAATGATCTTAATGATCAGCTCCTGAAGTTCATTCATCCTCCCATAACATGGTCTCAATAAGGATCCATTTCAAACCCCTAAAGCATGGGTCTATTGTATTCCAGTCCAACTTGTTACAAAACAGCATCAGCAGAAACTGGAGATAAACAGAACTGCCACAAAGTCCCGGCGCTGCCCAAAGGCATGGGTCTGATTCTCTCACTTACACAATGCAAATCAGGAGCAATTTCCCTAAAATCAGCAGTTACACCAGTGCAAAATCAGGACAAGAAAGAGGAGAATCAGGCCCATTGACTGCAAGGGGAGTTGCAGGTGCTCCATATTTCTCAGGATCAGGCCCACAGGAGGGAAAACAACTTGCTAAAAGGGAAATGCAAATCTCTCCAAAGAAGAGAGCCCTGTGAGCAATAGGGAAACCCATGAGGCCCTAGAAAACTGTACTTAAAGGGCTAAGCATGTTTTTTGTATATTAATTAACACACACACACACACACATACACACACACACCTTGAACCTGCAAAGTACGAAGCACCCATTCATTTCCCTGGTAAGTGGAGATGCCCTGCACCTTGCAAGCTCAGGCCCTAAATAAGGAAAGAGAAATACCACCAACCTCTTTTATTTACCAATAATAAAAGTCTGCCAAGCAATCACACAAGTTACACCTCTCTTCACATCCTACTAGCCCAAAAATTCATACCTGTTGTCTGAGGTCCCCAGCCTGGACCTTGAGACCCCAGGCAGCTCTGAAGACTGCTGGAAGTTCAGACCCCATGCATTTTACCTGATCAAATATTTAAACAAAACAAATCTACCTACATACAATGCCACAGTTGCATCATTACAGACCTAGTTTACAGCCACTCAGGGCTGTCATCGAGATTTAGTGTCTCTTAAAAAAAAAAGGGAGAGAGAGAAAGAGAGTGAGTAGCTAGAGATGTGGAATTGCCAACAAGCAAGAAGGACAGCCGTCCATCCACAGCTGTCAAGACAGACAGCAGAATCAAGCCAGGAGCCTGCTGCTGTATGGTTTATCCTTGCTCTGTAACCCTTTCCTCCACTTAAAGCAGCCAGGTAGACACCTGAGCATAACCTCCAGCAGGATCCGGGGCGGGGAGTCCTTGTCATTTGTCTCATAAGGGACACGACAACAACCACCAGCTAAACGGTAACCTCAATCGATCATGCAGCAATAGGTGAGGGGGGTCGGTGGGACACTGCGATACAGTACCAGGATTCCCCCTCCCTCAGCCCTGCCCCGTTCTCAAAGCACAGACCCGAAGCAATGCAAGCGTGGCCCCCAATAGAAACCTTTCATTAAATCGCCAGCAGGGCTCCATTGATAGGAACAATCCTTCCCAGCGGCTTCAGCGAATGCCCGCTGCCCCAGAGCCACGGGGGCTCGGAGTAGCCTCCCCCCGCATTTGGGTCCCTGGAGTAACAAGGGCGCTCCACGGTCGGCAGAAGGCGAGGTGGGCAGTGATTTGCAAGGAGGTGGAGGGATCCCCCCGCTGGTTATTTGCTGGGGGGGGGGGGGAGGAGGAACAGCAGCACGGCAAGGGGACGGGGGGCTCCGTTCTCCTCGCTCCAAGCAGCGGACGCCCCCCGCAGACCAGCCTCCCCCCAAATCCTAGCCACGGCACCGCGCGAGCCCTGGGGAGAGAGGCGGCGGCTGGCGGCTCGGTTGCGAGCCCCGGCCGGCGGGGCGGGGGAGGCACTTACTGGGCTCGGAGGCTCATTGCACGGGAGCGGGGCTGGTGGCTTCTCCCGGGCGCTGGCGGCGGCGGCGGCGGCGGGGGGACCCCACGGGCGGGCCCGGCTCCTGTGGATGCGGGCGGAGACAGATGCCGGGCAGCCCCTGCGCGCCGCAACTGGAGCGCGGCGGCCGGCCCGGCCCCCTGCTCCTCCCACTGCCCGGCGGGGCGTAAAGGGCCCCGGCGCTGGGGCGGCTGGGCCAGTCGGCGCCCGGCGCTGCAGCCCGGGCGGGACCCCGAACCGAGCGGGAGCTGCCGGGCGCCCGGGACCGTAGCCCCGCGCGGGCCCCGGACCCGCTCCTGAAGCGGGCGGGCGCGGCCAGCGTGCAGCGACGAACACCCTGGTGCTGCCGGTCTCAAGCCTTTTCTGCCCCCGGGTCCTGGAGCTGACCCAGGTGCTGCGTGGACACCGGCTTCAGGAGGGAGCCGATCCCCGGCTTCTTGGCGGGATGAGACGGGGGTGGCGGGGAGGGCAGAGAAGGGGGCACTGGCTGCTGCCCCCTCAGAAGTCTGCTGGATTTTGGTCATAACTAAAACGGGCCGCCCCAGAGGCCTGTGTACCCCGAGAGGACCTCGGCGTGGACAGTATGTTCTCAACACAAACCAGCCAATGTTTCCAGCACTTACTGATCGATATTTCTGATGACTCCATGAGGCATCAAAGAAACCAGATCCACTTCTCCTGGTCACCAAGAGGTGGGCAAAACACTGCAGCTACATGAAGGGGGCAGTGTATTTATGTGTGCAATGACCAGTGACCTCTCTAGGTCAGTGTTTTTTGGTGGGGGCCCTTGTAATTCACATTTGCTGCTCTAGCTCCATTTTTATATGGCCCCTCCCAAATATTTATCCTCACTATGTCCCTGTTAGGTCCCCATTTTGAAGATGAGGAACAGAGAGATTAAGGCCCAGACCCTCAAATGTACTTAGGCACCTAACTCCCATTGGTAAGCTGGGTCTAAATGACCTTGGGCAAGTCATATAGGAAGGTTGGGGGTCAGTTCCTGGCTCTGCCAGGAGTCCCAGTTTGGTGCCCTGACCACTAGCCCATCCTTCCTCTCTGCTCATGGGCTGCTCAGTCAAGGAGACTGGCTGTGTAAGTAAAGCTTATTCCTGAGCATAAGGGTTTATGGGGCAAGACCTAAGGATGGTAAAGCACCTTTCAGCTGAGGATGATCATTACAGAAGAGAGACCAGGCACATGGGGTAATATCTTTCATTGGACCAACTTGTGTTGGTGAAAGAGCCACTTTTGAGCTATGCAGGGCTCTTGGTTAGGTCTGGGTTCACCCACCTTGTGTCTCTAATATCCTGGGACCATCAGGGCTACAACACCACTTTTACCTAAGAGATATTCAAGGTGGTGTTGTATGGAGAGTGTGGTGACTAAGTGGAATGGGGCTTTCAGTTAAAGTCAAAGAGTATTCAGTAAAGGTTGATGACTACAGGTAATTTAAGTTAAGTGGTTGTCATTTTTGTGTTTGGGAGTAGCTAGACTCAGGGAATTTTCCATTCGTTGTTTTCTCACTCTTCCGTCACCAACCAACATTGACTGCCATTGCGTGTCTGCATGGTGATGTACTTTTCTCTCCCAAACATCGTCATCGTTTAGGCCCAGATTCACAAGGTATCTTGGCTCCTAGCTTCCGTTGAAGGCAGTGGAAGTTAGGAGTCAAAATAATTACCTGGGTGGATCTGGGCCATAACTCTTATGCTTTATAGCAACGTACAAACTAACTCACTGAGCTTCACAACACTCCTATGAGGTGAAGAAATAGTATCCTCATTCTACAGATGGAGAAACTCAGGCACCAAGAAGCAAAATGATTCACCCCAGACCACACTCTCAATTACTGGAATTAGAATTTAGGAATTTCTTTAATCTGTACTTCCTCTGCAAACTACGCTGCTTGCACCAAACAGTCCAAGACACAATGGGCCTATATCCTGATTCAGGTCCTACAAGATATTATAACCCTGAGTCATCTGTAATGATCTTTTTAAAATTCTGTTGCAGACTGGGGGTATGGAGGGGTGGTTACGATGTCTGAATCTTGCTATTCACTTGCCCCTATGTTACATCATGTGTCTTCAGCCTTCATCCTTTTTGCCATTAATGATTATTAGTCATAGCCATAATTAATATATTTGAATGTGCAAATAAAGAAATAATGCCCTGATCCTGCAGTGAGATGTGTGTACAGAGACCATTGCAGCTGCAAGAAACCCCGTTGGACAAAGTGGGGTTGTGTACCTTTCATTTTAAACACTGAGGTCTATGTTCATGAATACTAAGTATTCTCACCAAAAGGCCTGTTACCAGGTCAGCATATGGTATGATCCCACACCAAACATTTCTGCATAGCGGATAAGTTAGTAGAGCACATGTCTGAAGTTTCAGCAGGGCATCGTTATCCCCTTAAGGGCAGTCAGCTGTGTACCCAGGTGTGCAATCAGTAGTGCCCAGAAGAGAGCAGTAGCACGTTCAGCTTTTAGCTTCTCTGAACTGACCATGGCAGAGTTTATTGTGGTTTTCTTGGAAATAACCACTTGTGTTGAGCTTGGAAAGGGATCTTCTGGGATTTGTTGTTCTTCTCTGCATCTGTAAAGTAGGAGCAGTACCCCAGGAGAGGTTTTGGGGGAGGGCACCATGTGCCCCTTCTGCAGCTCATCACTTGTAAGGTGAAAGGGATATCTTGCCTCACGAAGTCTACGGATGGATAATATTAATCCTTGAAGAGCCAAAGGAATTTGACTTCACGTAGACACCCTCAGGTATGTAGCCTGAGCCATAAGCTGACTGAGAACTGATCTGCTGCCCCTTGTAAAGCCTTCTGGATCCTGTTTCTGGTTGGAGATTGCTTTTTAAACAAGGAACTGAGGTTAGCACAAGGACCGTAGAGCTAAAGTTGTCTCCTGTGCTTGCCATGTTCTGAGGGATTTGGCTTCCCTCTTATACAGAGTTATAAGTTTCTCTCTGCAGGAACTAGATCATACTTAGTCCTGCCATGGGTGCAGGGGACTGGACTAGATGACTCTCAAGGTCCCTTCCAGTCTTATGATTCTGTAACTCCAAGATAAGCCCTGTATTTTTGTTTCACAGGCTTTAAACATCTTGTTTTGGGAAGGGGGGGAGGGAATAAGAAAACAGCTTCAATTTCTGTCCTCCAGGAATTGAAACCCTCTTGGAAGATGAGGGCCAAAACTTTGAGAAGTGTCTGCTGCCTTTCACATGCTCAGCTTGAGCCCCCTTGGTGCTGAAGATCCATCGCTCCACCCAAAGTCAATGGGAACTGGGCACACTCAGCACCTCTGAAAAGGGACACACACACACACACACGAAGCACAAACGCTACAACCCACGCATGCCCCTTAATGTCTTTGCCCTGCCCTTAGGGGAGAATCCTTGGCTATCAGGGGTGGAAGGGACCTCAGGAGGGCATCTCATCCAACCCCCTGCTCAAAGCAGGGCCGATCCCCAATTTTTGCCCCAGATCCCTAAATGGCCCCCTCAAGGATTGAACTTACATCCCTGGGTTTAACAGGCCAATGCTCCAGCCACTGAGCTATCCCTCCGCTATATATTGCTCTACTGCAGTGTGAGAATAACTGGCAAGCTGCTGCCTGTGTGTGGCTTGTGACTGGTATTGAGAAGCCTGCACAGCTGGAGCCCAGGACACCAGATTTACAAGATCTATGTAAATCAGTATAGCGCCATCGACTTCAGTGGCATTAGGCTGATGAAAACCCGGAGCCTCTGCTGCTGGACACTGGCTGAAGGACTGTCCCAACATGTGCCCTTCTCCCACCCCCCTCCACCCCGCCCAGCTGCCCTCTCCACGTGACTCGTGTGAAGGGAAAGCTCAGCAATAGCATAGCTTTATTCTAGAGCAATAAAGACAAGTTTTTGTCACGGATATTTTTAGTAAAAGTCATGGACAGGTCACGTGCAATAAACAAAAATCCATGGAAGCCTGTGACCTGTCCCTGACAAAAGGGGTAGGCAGGTTCAGCCACCGCTGCTGGTTGGCCTCCCGGGTCCCCCACCGCTGCAGTGTGTGGGAGCTGTGGGGTCCCACTGCCCATGGGGCTCAGCTGCTGCCGGGTACTCTCACCCCCAGGGCAGCTGGGAGCTGCAGGGGCCGCCGGCTGCGGCTGGGCAGCTGCAGGGTCCCCTCCACCACTAAGGGGGGAGCTGCGAGGGTGGGGCTGGCTTGGCGCTCCAGCCCTGGGGCAGAAAATATCAGAGAGGTCGATGGAAGTCATGGATTCACGCCACTTCAGGGCAGTAATATACTTTCCTCACAGGAGTGTTTTGATGCCTAATTAATGTTTGTCAGGAGCATGGAGATACATGCCTGAATGTGTTTGTGGCAAAATCAGGCTACTTTGGAGTAAGCACAATATCTGTGGCATTTCCTTCTGGCCCCTTTGCTTGGGCCATTGACTCTCCCCCAAAAAAGCATCTTCCCCCATTCATGTACATTTAAATATTTAAAGAAAATATTAGACAATCGATAGCCTCTTAGTCTGAGATTTCATTACGGGTTTCATTGCACTTGGTATTTATTGCCTTGGGAGTGCTGGGGTCTGCTACATTTGGTGGTAACTGTAAGGAGATAATGCTTTAGCCCTGTTGTTCACACAGGAGATCAACTGGCGCTAAACAAAGGTTTGACAAGTTATCACTGGTGTAGCTAGCCTCATGTTCCATCCTGCAGGGGGAGATTTCAGCACCAAATTAATCCCCATCCTGATAACTAGAGCAGTGGTATCTTTGAAAGGTCGTGCAGGGTGAGCACTGCCTGTCCTTCTTTGAAACTGATACACCAGGGGTTCTCAGCCTGGGGTATCACAAACCAGTGTCAAAGGGTCCTGACTGTAGTAATCTGCATAGAACTTGGAGGAAAGAGTTTGGAGGAGGAACCAGGAAGCTAGTCTGTGTGCACATGGCTGGAATACTACCTGCAAAGAGCTGGTTTAGTTTTAGAAACATGGAGTCCTCAACCTCTGCTACATGAAACAATGACCACTCTGCTCTTCCCATATTGCTAAGTGGGATTGAGTTGGGGGGATCCCAGCTAGATGTGAAAGTGGCTTCAGGGGTGGATAGTGCAGGATCGAACCCTACCTGTTTGCATACTGCTGTGGAAAGAATCCCTTTTCAGCTGGATGACTGCACGGAGGTCAGGGATGCGTCTTATGTTCTAAGCCATCCGCATTTTGGGCTGTCCCAATTTTCACATGTACACTAAGCCCAAGTGTCATCTTTATAGTACCCTAGATATGCCACAATGTGGATTAATTGAAATTCTGGTCATGGTGAATATATTTATGTGCCACTCTAGGCCCACTTACTGAGGGCCTGATCCCAAGTCATGGAGGTCACTGGAAGTCCTATTGACTTCCAATTGTCATATGAACCCTTTACCAGAACTCTCTTCATAGTCTCAATCTGTAAAGGCTTCTGCACAGTGCTATTCACTTCAAATTCTGCTTTTGTCCCCATGGGATCCTATTACCATAAGAACTTTTAAAAATCCCCAGCTTTTATTAAACATCACTCGAGAGCAAACATGGCTTTTTTTTTTAAAGCTTAAAGTAAATGCCCTGAATAAAGAATATGCAGTGTTGTTGTAACCGCATTGGTAGCGGGATATTAGAGAGACAGGCTGGGTGAGGTAATAGCTTTTGTTGGACCAACTGCTGTATTTAGCTGTGACACTGTGAGTACATTTCCCAGATCTGAAGACGAGCTCTGTGTAAGCGTGAAAGTTTCTCTCTCTCACCTACAGAGGTTGGTCCTCACCCACCTTGTCTCTCTGAATAAGGAGAGCAGTTCTGATTTGGCAGATAGCTCGGTGGCTGCCATATGCTAGCGAACTCTGAGCTCGCACTCCGAAGAGTTGTTAAAAGGGGCTTACTTGCTTACTAGAGGGATGGTTCTGCTGGGATAATATGCATGCTTCTCTCGTACCTTGACTTCACAGACATCGTGACTTGTGCCTCACAACATCCTGGTGAGGTCTGCAGTCAGCTGTTCTCACTTCTCAGATGGACAAGTCAAGGCACAGGAAGTTTGGACAGGAGGGAGTGGTAGAGTTGGGTAGAGAATGATCATTCCAGTTCAAGGAGATTTTTGAGATCTGGTTTTGTTCCAGTTCCTAACAAAACCCCCAAATTACAAAATTTTCCTAAATGGAATTACCATTCTCTGCCTAGCCCTGCTGGGAGCCCTGTCTCCAGGGCATGGCACCTGGTGGGCTACTCTGTGGTTGCGGATACTGTGCCCTGGGCTGATGAAGAACTGGGAGCCAGGGCCACCGGCGGGTGAGCCGGCAGGAAACCAGGCAGGTTTCAAAACTTGTCTGGCAGGTAGGGTTCCATCAGACACCTGCCTGGCTTCTGGCAGAACTTTCTCAAAATGAACACAATCCTGCAGTGTTGTTGTTTTTTTTTTTAATTTTGCTAATTCAGCAAATTCTGTTTCATTTTTTTTTTCCTGATCACGAGAGTGAGTGGTCAGCTGAGAGCTTGTGTAAGGAACTGAGGAAGAGGAAATTTTTAAAGTCAGTGTTTGGCTGTATCAAGATCCCCGAGAGCCCAGTGGCTTGTGCATGCCAAGGGAGCAGAGAAGGGAAGCCCCCCCACTGTCTCCTTTAGAAGGGATAAGGGTTGCCCCAGGTGCTCAAATGCTAGTTGTGTCAGGGGCATGACTAAGTCAGGAGGTGCAGGTTAAGGTGCAGAAACATCAGTCCCTACAATCTGTGCTCCCTGAAAACTGACTACATGCAGGAAAGGGACTCACCTGCCCACGGGCTGAGCTGTCCGCTAGAGAGAACTGGGACTTGCTGAAGACTTGCTTAGGGGGTGAGGAAAGTTGTGGGGGAAGAGGTGGGCAGGATTGGGGCGCAGGTTTCAGAGTGGGGCTGAAATGGGTGTGACCTTCTTGGAGAGAAGTTGTTATACAGCACCCAACAAAACTGGGGCTGTACATCATAAGACAACCAGAAGAAAGCAGTTGTCAGGCTGAGGCAATGAAGACTCGGAAAGGGGCTCCCTTACCCTCTCTTAACAGGGTCTGTGAACCTTAGGGGGTGGGGTGGGATGACTTCACTGAGGTGCCACCTCACCTCATTCCCCCAGCGATGAACTCGAGAGGCCAGTACCTAGGAGTGGAGCCCTCTCTCTGCTAGTCAGGGTCAGCATTGTGCTCTGTGTGCTTTCCAAGAACCCTCAGGGACTCCGCTGGCACTGTTCTTAACCTCATGCTTGATCTTTTGTCTCTCTCCAGGAATTGTGAATTGCTTTTCGGCTCCAGAGGCTGCTCTCCGGGAAGGCGTCGGGGTGTAAGAGTGTGATCTGGTAAGTGGCTTTCGATAAGGATCGTTAAACACTACAAAACTAAGACACAGAGCCCTGTTGATAAGTGTAAGGGCCTTTCTCTTCCTGGCCACGAATACTGCTGGTTTTGGGATTAATATGGAGGAGTTTTTGAGGACTGAGATTACTGATCATCGGGAGACGAGTCCACCTGATAACAGGTGACCACGAGGCTTTGCTGGAGGGCTGGCAGATCAAAATGGCTTTGATAATGGGAGTGACATAGCTTTATGGAAGTGCGTATACCTCAAAAGTTTCTCCACTGAAATGTTTGGATTGAGAGGCAGTGTGGTCTAGTGGATAGGCCACTGGACTGGGACTCAGGAGCCTTGGATTGTACTTCTGGCTCTGCCACTGATTTGTTGTGTGATTTTTGGGCAAGTCACTTCCCTTTGTTTACCCTCTGACTTTTTGTCTTTCCATTTAGACTGAAAACTCTTCAGGGCAGGTACAAACTATGTGGATGCTATGCTCCGGTGGTGGCCCAATCTTGATTGGGGCCTTTTGAGGTCTAGGCACTGCTGGAATACAGATAAAAATGAGCTATTTACTCTAGGTTCTACTGGCTTCGATTTGTGCACCTATTTAGGTTTCTAGATTGGAGCAGCTGTCATTCTCAGCTGTTTTGGTAAGTTTGTTTAGTTTGCTATTTAGAGGGGTTTATATACATGTTTTGCTTCTCATAGTTCCACCAGCTTTTCGCTGTACTTTCTATGTCATTTTGTGGAGTCTGTTAGAGAAAAGTTTATTAGGATCCAGTTGCATGGTCACTGTAGATAATCCATCAGTTAAGCACATTGGGCTGATCCCATGGAGCCTTTTTCACTCTCTGTAGGGCAGGCGTCGATTCATATTCTCGGGTACGTAGGAGAAAGGGGACGTCCACAGAGGGATGCTGTATTTTGGTTTAAATGCTGCTTCTCATGCCAGTAATAATCACGTGCAATTCTAGAGGGGAAGCATGGCCTTGTGGTTAAGACATGGGACTGGGGCAGACTTCTTGCGTGACCTTGGGCATGTCCCTTCATCACTGTGTCTCATGTCCTCCTCTGTAAAATGCAGATCAGAATCCTTTCTTTCTCACACCCTTTTGCTATCTTGCCTATTTCAACTGTAAGCCCTTCACGGCAGGGATTGTCTTACTATATGTACGTATAGTGCCTAGTGCAAGCAAACTTGGTTGCAGTCTCCAGATGCTACTGTAATATAAACGATAATCTTACTTCCTCCCTAAAGACTCTACTAGAACTAGTCAAACAATTTCCATCCAAGAGTCGTTGACAGAAAATGGTTATTTTGTTGATGTGGAAACTTCCAGGGGAAATGTCCTGTTTTTGCCAATAAATACATAAAATAAATATTGTGACAAACCGGTTTTTCTTATGCTTGGAAATTGCTGCGGGGGTGTGGTCGTGGAGAACTAGTTTTCTGCTCAGCTCTACTAGATGTGTTTGGCTGACTTCTACCCTTGTGGTTTTGGGTGGTAGTTGGTGGGTTGTTTTTTTTTTTTTTTTTTTTTTTTAAATCCCTGGTTTCGCTTCTTCAGCTTAGAACAAGATTTTTGTATAAAGCAACTGACAACCTATCTGTTGACCTTCCCCTCTGTGGTGTTGCTTGCTGTACTAGATCTAACTTCTATAGTAACCCCTGATAGGCAAAAATATATATAATTTTAAACTATTTGGTAAAGCGCCATACATCCCTCTGGTACCGTATTTAAAAACACCAAACAAACCTAGTAACTACCAAAGCTTACAAAAGTCCTTTCCAAGCACAGCTGTAAAATCACTGTCAGACCTTTGAAAAATCATGTTACCGAGAGCCTAAAAATGGATTTAAGGACCTAATTTTAGGTATCTGCATTTGGCCAGAGTGTATGCAAATCAGTAACGTGGAGTGGTCGGTTTAACTTTTTCCCATAAGTTTTTTCCTCATAATTTCATTAGGAACTATGTTCACAGTAGAAGGATACAGTTCACAAGTCCCTCCCCTCCCAAAGTGTTGTAAAGCATTTGTCTAAAAGTAAAATGCTAAGGGCCACGCTTGAATAGCAATAAGCTGTTTTGGGGACCCAATCCAAAGCCCAGTGGAGTCAATGCAAAGCTTCCCGTTGTCTGCAGCGGGCTTTGGTTCCAGTGCTTGGTGCACATCACTTGTGATGAAGATGTTGTGGGCCTGCTCTTCCTTTTGCACTGTTTTTATAACTCCACTGGTTGCAATGAAGAGTTACTCCTGATTGACCCCGGTATGAGGTCAGGATCAGGCCCTCCTTCATACTTGGGTATCATGGCTCCTACAAAGCACACACCAACAGCGGTCTACAGAACGTCCCTAGTGTAGCAATAAATCACTATCCTGGATTCATAGCTAAACCCTTTAAAGGAATAAACTTGTAAGTAGAGCAAAGTGTAACATGTTGAAACACAGCCTTCTGTTAAATGGTCATTGAATAAACCTAATATCTGCTTACTTCTGCCAATTCTAATTATAGAGCTAATTTTTGTCTTCTTAAAAAAAAAAATACCCTAAAAACCTCTATAAGGAATACACTTAGTGCAGCAAGCCTATGGAAGAAGCGGTGGCTGGACTTTCACTTTGAGCTTGGTGTGCACGTGAAATCTTTTGCCTAAAAGCATCTGTGGGCCCAGACAACCCCAACAGTGGCAGCGTTTCCAGTATGTGCTGCGGCTTTGGTGATGCTCTGGTCACCACAAAGTTGTGGCTTTATTTTATTCTTCCCTTGGAGTTGGGCTGGTATTTTGTCTCTCTCTTTATTCCTCCCCCCCCCCCCTTCTCATTTAATGAAAGAGACACTGAGGCTGGGTCCGAACTCGAGAGAACTTCTACCTTCCCTGCGTGAATAACTTCAGAAGAGCTGTTGACTGAAGCTTCAGGAGAGAAGCTGAAGCAGAAGGAAGAATTTGTGTACTTGGGAAGTACACTTAGGGTATATTAGCACTGAAATAAAACACCCATGGCTGATTCAGGTCTGAAGACTTGAGCTCTGGCTGTGGGGCTATGAAATTGCAGTGCAGACATTCGAGCTTGGGCTGGAGCCCGGGTTCTGAGACCCTCCCCTCTCATGGGGTCCCAGAGCCTGACCATCAGTCTGAACCTGAATGTCTGCACTGCAATTTTATAGCCCTGCAAACCCAAGTCAGTTGACATGGGTCAGAAGTGGGTGTTTAGTTACAGAGAAGACATACCCTAAGTGCTACTGGAGAGAGATCTGGAGAATTGAAAAGAATAACCCAGGGTGCATGGGCGGGAGTGGAAAAAGGTGGCAGGAGTATTGTGGGACCAGCAATTAAGTAAAACTGCAAGGACAAGTGTATGCTGCATGTGTTCGTCCCTGCCTGCTATATGGTTTGGAAATGGTGGGTCTTACGGAGCTAGCAAAAAAAAAAAAAACATACTGAGAAGAATGGCAGGCAAGCGGAGGGTAGACGGAGTATGCCCAGACGTTAGGGGGAAGATGAACTTGGGATTCTGTGACAGACAGGCCAGAGAGCACATGTTTTAGGTGGTCTGGGCATAAGAATGGGAAAAGAACGACCAACAAAGAAAACATTGGCGGAAGAGGATAGCAAGAAAGGATGTGGACGACAGAGGACACGATGGAAAGACTGTCAAGAGAAATCCTGAAGAGAAAAGGACTGGAACTCCAAGACTTACAAACCCATACGATGGACCAGATGGAGTGGCGAAGATTCATGGCCATCTCCGACCCCGTGTAAATGGGAAAAGGAGTCATGAAGTGAGACTTTGGCTTGGTCTGAACTTAGAGTTTTAACAGGCATAATTATGTTGGTAGGATTGTGAGTTTTTTTGTTTTTTTTAAGAAACATACATATTTTTGCCAACCTACTTATGCCAGTAAAAGCCCCAGCATAGAATTATACTAGCCTAGTTTTTTGCTTCCCTGAGCTGGCAAAGTTAACATAGCAAAACTTTTAAGTGTAGACAAGGGCTAAGAAACATGGTAACATCACTTGTCTCAGGGTACGGCTACGCTGCAGTCAGAGGTGTGGTTGCAGTTTAGGTAGGCACACCCATGCTAGCGTTCTTCTAGCTAGCATAGCGAAGACCCTGGGGCAGGGCCCGGGTGCGGGCTAGCAACATGAGTACGTGCCTAGGGTTCTGGGAGGGCTTGTACAGCCCATGCTCGAAGTTGTGCAGCTGGCATCTTCACTGCTGCTTATCCCTGAACTAGCTAGACTAAAGCAAGCACAGTTATGTCTCCATGAGCTGCAATCACCCCTCTGATCTCAGGGTAGCCTTACCTTAGGTTAGTGGGAAAGGAACCCTAATGCTACCACTCCAGTGGGAGCTTGTTGGCTTTAAACACCCAAAGAGGAAAGATGGTCTTCGTGGTAAGGCCATTCTGGAAATCTGGATTTAATTTTCAGCCTTGCTACAGACACCCCATGTGATTTGTTTTTGGACAAGTCACTTAATCGCTCACTGCCTCAGTTTCCTGTCTGTAAAAAGGCAACATGACCCCACCCTTTGTCTTGTCTATTTAGATTGTAAGGAATTTGGAGCAGAGAATATTTTACTATGTGTCTATGCAGCATCAAGCACAATGGTGCCCTGATCTTGGCTGGAGGTCTTTGGGCACTACTAGAATAAAAATAGGGTAGTAGGTGTTTAATGTAATGTTTAAAAATAGGGTAGTAGGTGTTTGGGTGTGTCATGGGGAGACGTATCTGATCCATATTGGGATGGGTACAAGCTAAATGAATACTAAAGGAGAGGTTTCAGAGTAGCAGCCGTTAGTCTGCATTCGCAAAAAGAAAAGGAGGACTTGTGGCACATTAGAGACAAACAAATTTATTTGAGCATGAGCTTTCGTGAGCTACAGCTCACTTCATCGGATGCATTCAGTGGAAAATACAGTGGGGAGATTTATATACATAGAGAACATGAAACAATGGGTGTTATCATACACACTGTAACCAGAGTGATCAGGTAAGGTGAGC